TGACAAGTCAAAAGTGAAGAAAACGAATACTGAAGAAAAACAATGCTCTCTCCCCAAAGGAAATAATCCAACAGGACAAAGAATGTGTCCTAAGAGCATAAAACGGGGACGTCCTCCCAGGAGCAGATTGCAACATTGCTTGAGTGTTGTCTTAGTTTGATAGGCTTCATTTTGTAGACCTATGTTTGTAGAGATTTTAGGAACTTTCTGATGTCGTCTCTGTATTCTCTGGCTGAGGGCAGAGGCAGCCTATGATCCATCACCTTTGTTTGACAACTTGCCGTTGGTGTGTCAATCTCACGTGGCCCGTGCTGTCAGTGATCCACCATGTAAGTGCTTTGTGTGTGTGCTTTTTGCCTTCCCGGCAGGACGTGCCACTTTCCACCTCCGGCGGAGACCTCCATGACGCAAAAAACGCCCCGACACTGCATGCTCTTCCTGCCTCTCACCATTTATTTTCATTGCTAATGTAGTGATGAAATTAAAAATATGAGCATTAAAAAGAAGAAGAAATGGGAGTCGTTGTCCTTGAGTTGATTCTGACCTTTCCACCCCACGGCCCGGAGTAAGTCGGCCCCATGGGGTTTCCCACACTGTGGGCTTTGGGAGTTGATGGCCAAGCCCTCTTCAGAGGTCCCTCTGGTGCAGTGGTTCTCAATCTTCCTCGTGCCGGGACCCTTTTGCCCTTCAGTGTCCGCTTCCCGGAGACGCCACGCAGTTCCAAGGTTTCCGCTTCCTGGAGACGCCACGCAGTTCCAAGGTTCTCTACAGATCAGTCTGTCTGTTTTCTTTTCTTCCCTTCCCACAACGCCTTAGTTTTGTTTGGCTGCAGCTTGAGGAAGATTTCATACCTCAATTCCCAACCATCTCAGCCAAACTGAAGAGCTCTGGCAGTGTAATAGGTTACCTGGTGGACTAAGGGCAAGAGCCACGGCTCAAGTTCACCAGCTGCCCCAAGGGAGACAGAGGAGGCTTTCCTCCCAAAAGGTTGATAACCTCGGGCAGTTCTACTGCTTGTCTGTCCTGTAGATTCTCTCTGAGTGGAAACAAACCCCATAGCAGTGAGCTTTTTGAGTTTCTCGGGTGGCGGGGTGGCATAAGGATTGGGCTGCGATCTGCAAAGTCAGTAGTTCAAGACCACCAGCCCCTCCTGGGGACTAATGATAGGGTTTTCAACTCCCATGAAGAGTTACAGTCTCAAAATCCCACAGGGGCAGTTCAACCCTGTCTTATGGGGTCACGATGGGTCCCCATGGACTTGATGACAGTGATTTTGTTTGTTCAACCAAACTGGACTGTTCGTTCTCTGATGAGCTCCTGTAATTGCTATGACAACACTTAGTCCTTAGGAAGGGAGGAGCCAGCCAGAGTGCAGTACAGCACTGACTAAACACACAACATTCCTCTAGTTCTTTGATGCTTCACACCTTCACTATTGTGACCCCAGTTCTACCTTACAAATCTGGCTAGACTGGAGCATGTACACTGGTACAGATAAGAGCTCTCGACCCATGGAATTCAGGACAGATAAACCCCTCAGGAACAATACTGAGAGTAGCAATACCATGAGGGTAGGGGGAAGGTGGGGAGAGAAAGGGGGAACTGATCGATGTATAACCTCCCCACCAAGCGTGACAACAGAAACATGGGTGAAGTGAGACAGCAGAGACATATGTATATTTTTTGATTCAAAGAGTACTGCTACCAGGGTTCCGGTTGACACAGGCACGGGTTTATTCCAAACAAAAAGCGCTTCC